GTTGGTTTTTGCCAAAATTCGTCTCGTTCTATCTACCCTTCGCTTGTGTGATTGTCTAAGTGCCCTCTAGGTGACAGCCCCATAGAAGTGGAATAAGGCTCCAAAAAGGAGTGGCGATGAGCGAACAATAAAAGAAATATTTAAAAGAATAGAGAAATAGGAAAAGAACAATTAGATGGACTGAGAAAGGTAGACTGATATATGCAGACAGAAATTGATGCAATCCACCTCAAATCGAAATTTCAGTTCAGAAAATATTTTCAGAAAAATCTCACACAAAATTAAATTAAAGCAAACATGTGTCATAAATTTTTGAATCAAAACAAAGATATAAAATAATGAAAAACATTCATTTTTGTCCATTCAAATCTTCTCTTCTCTTCTTAGAAACTCTACGATACTTTTGAAAAGGTTGATCTCTTTTGATACTCCAGCAGAAACCAGCCATCTTGTTAACATCCCGTCTGCAAAGTGCCTAGTTGGCTATGCCTATCTGGTGTTTAGTGGCTATTTTAAGCGCTGATAACGAAAATTCTTATCTTGCTAATCTCAAATACACACGACTAACACCCTAACAACACTAAATTATCGATATTCCTATGCATGCTATACAGAGACTGTATGACAATAGCAGACTTCCGTAAATTCAAGTGATATGATAAAATCTTATGAAGATTTCAGGCTTGAAGTGAAACCTACTAATAAAAACTAAAATCGTTGTTCTTGAATGACTTCTAAAGAGCTTCTTCGAAAAGAAACACAAATCATAAAGTTTTAACAAGCTAAGAACATTGAAGGCAAGAGAACATTTTCCAGCAAGATATCTCTCATAAAATCAAGCATTTTCAGGTCAGCTTATCTGTACTGAAATAGCTTAGAATTCATTTTGAAAGTTATTTGGATACATTTTCTTGAATGATAAATTATTTTAACAGGAAACGAAATGTTTCAACTACGTCACTCGCATATTTAAGCCATTTTGGCTTATTTTAAACAAAATAGAAAGTATCTGTACTGAGAAAACAGATGTGATGGGGCAAAATGGACTTGATTTTCAGGTTCAGCGTGAGAAAATGGCCCAGAAACATGTGCCCATTGTCCAAAGACATCTGGGTCGAAAAAATGTCAAATGGTGTAATCAATAAAAAGGTCGACAAAAAAAAAAACTTTCATGATTGATAAACAGTATTAATGTAGCTATTAAAGGTCCACTGCTGATGCCCTAACACTCACTAAACAGAATCAGTGCGCCATTCGTTAATAAATTCATCACGCGAGCGATCGTTTTAGATATGGCTAATGCCTTTGACAAGTTATGGCATCGGGAGCTGCTACACAAATTCTCTATCAACGGCGTCTCTGGAAGTTTTCATAATTATCAAGTCCACGCCACCGTGTTGATCCAAGATCGTTGTTAATTCCTAATCATCTGAATTCTATGAGACCAATTCTGGTGTTACTCTATACTCTCTACTTGTCCCTACCACTTTCTAATTTATATTAACGATTTGCTTAGGAACATTCTCAGATTACTAGTGACAAATCATTGGAGGAGAAACTGACTGAATTCCCCCCAAATAAAGCCACTAAGATGCAAGGCATAACTGAGCGTGAAACAATATAAGAAAAATAAAAGCATTTTCAAGGCAACAAAACAATAATTTATTATTATTATAAACGTTAATATGTGGGTACATTTCTCTGAGTAGTTGCTATGCAACTAAGAGAAATGTACCCACATAATACATTTATATATATATATATATATATATATATATATATATATATATATATATATATATATATATATATATATATAAAACTGTGAAATTGTTAACAAAAGAAAATTGTGACTCCGACAGGAATCGAACCTGTATTAATTTTTTCTCTTTTTGTGAAGCCACTTTCTTTTTTTAACGAATATGGTAGTAACTTGCATCGGCAAGCTTTGGCTAAATAAAAAAACAAAACAAAACGAAAAAAAACAGGTTCCTTAAAGAAAAGAAAAAAGAAAAGGTATATAGGTTCGATTCTGGTCGTAGGTTAGTATTAATATCATAGTTTAAGAAAACAAATATTTATATATGAGAGCAAAAATGTTATAGTTTTTTTTAAGTTTAGGAACACCCATAAATATTGATCATTTTATTCGAAATAGATAACGCATGAATTAATCTTTATTAAATAAATTAAATATTTGCGGAAATAAAACTGAAAAAACATCACTTAATCACTTTCGTTTATTAGTCATTGAATTGTGTCACTCCGTGACATCCATAGCTTCATTGTTATCGTGTCAAATATATCTCTCTCTTATTCTTTCATTTTATCTTAAAATTATATTCTTAACCGGAAGTAATTGTGACACGTCTAAAAATGACAGGTCATCTAGACAAATACGAATAACACACCCCTAAGCTCTAACCTACATTGTTTCACTTTTCTTGTTTACCTGTCTTTTGATTGGTCAAAACAGAACATACCGATAAAATTTTAAAATCTTGCCCCCTTCTTAAGTCTTCAATAAAATACCATTTTGTTTTCAAAAGTAAATAATTTTCATTAAAAGTTACCCAACATCGCTTGATAATGGAACAAATTTAAAGTTCTGAATCATGGAAATTTCCTTGTCGCGACGTAATATATATATATATATATATATATATATATATATATAAAGAAGGACGCACGTTCGATTCCTGTCGAATTTTCTTTCCTGAGATTTCTCGAATGTACAGGCTGAGTAATACACAGTATTTAATCAATAAAAATGGAGCGTCTATTTCAAATGCGAAGTATCCAGTATAATAACGTTCTGTCCTCTGAGGGGCTTTAGCTTGATAAATCCACTCATAGGAAAAATGCATCGGCTCCAAGTTTTTCCTTTTATCTTTATTCATATATATATATATATATATATATATATATATATATATATATATATATGACGAAGACAAAGTATAAAGAGACAGGCAAATATCATTAGAAACAAAGAAAAAGCGTGCTGGACAGCTATGCAATATTTGATATCCTATATGACAATGAATGCTGGACAATCTGTTCACAGATGAAGAGGAGACATGAAGCGAAAACAAGACATTGGTACACAAACCCTGACCATTTCTAGAGTTGAAGATAAGAACCACCCACGATGATGAGTGAAGAATATTTTCAATTTAGATAATTAAGATTTTGTTAACAGGCCCCGAGTATGAAATTAATATACAATTTACCATACTTTTCTTTGTGTACATTTTATTTCCTCTCAATTATGCTTTTATCTCTGTGAACAGAAGGCCAATTTATGCAGCTATGAGGTAAGTTAGTTACTTTAATTGTTTAAAAAGTTAAAATATTTACATGAACTTCGAACATAATAATGATGATATCACAGTTGTCTTTTTACAAATATTTCAAATAAATGCCTTTGTTAAAATCCCAGTTTGTTCAGCAAATCAGATACACGGAGCTCAACAACTTATGCTCTTTAGAAACCGGAAGTAGTGGGAAAAAAGATTTTAACCGGGTTGAAATAACCCCAAGATGAACTTCTTAAAACAAGTAAATGATTCTTACAAATCCAAAAAATCCACGCGAGAGTGGTGATTAGGTTAACTTAATATTTGTGTTTTCAATGGCGGCGTCTTCCCTTGCTTTTCTTATCTTTCCTTTTTTTTCTTTTTTAAATGCTCAATTTTTAAGTTTCTTACTTTATATCTACACACTATACCAACATAATAATGCTTGCTTGAAATAGGTATTCTTATGAGGTAATTTTCGATTTCTCTATTATGAAAATTATATGCTTGTTTTTAATAAATGTACTGAGAAACTTTTTTGTGGATCAGTTTTAATATTCTATATTATTAGGATTCACTTGGATTATATGCTAAAGGATTATATATATATATATATTATAATTTTATCATATAGACAAAACCATTTTACTCACTACAAAGAAGCAACTTTGTTTCAGTGAATTTCAACTGCAGTTCGATGGGTGAGAATCGAAAATGGTTATGAACAATACTGGTTGTAGGCAAGCCGTATCTGAAGTGTCACTTCCTTTTTTCCATTTGTATGAGAAGAAAAATATCGATAAAAATAGAGGTGACGGAGTGAAACAATAGTGCTTGTTGATAGAAATGTGGTGAAGAATGGATTCGGTGTTTAATGTTGACTGGTCTGTGGAAATCTTTTGCCGATAAACACCGATCAAAAGTTTAGGCACAAGAAAAGCTCCAGTATCGGTATCGAGCCCTCTTTTGGATTAATGCTGTGAACGTTGGAATTTATATATTACTTTCGTTCTCATCGCATGCATATATATATATATATATATATATATAATTAAGTAATTCATCGAGTCTAGAAGAAACCTCAACAGAATGCAATGGACGTCCGTTTCGTTCTATATTTGGGACTCATCAGCAGTGCGTATTCCACTACCAAGAATTGAAACCCGAACATTTACGATAGGAGGTAAACGCCATACCAACTGTTCTCGGTAATGAAGAGGTAACAAATTAGACTCGATATAGCGCCGGTCGATCAAAAATTCCATGGTGGAACTTCTCCGAGTTTCTCTTTTAACCATAGGACTGTGCCTCCCCTTGCTACGACTACTACCCCAAGCCGCTCACCCAGCGCATTAGAAGCCGGTTCAAGCAAGGATATAAAGAGACAAATATATATATATATATATATATATATATATATATATATATATATATATATATATATATATAAGTAAAGAGTAAGTGATGGAAAATGATATTAAATAGACTTTTATCATTTCATAATACAAACGCTGTTTCTCTTTTCCACGAATAAAAATTATTATGGTTTCTATTTGTTAATGCTGGGTTGCGATTCTAGTTAAGAATTAAATTCTTGAAAACATGTTTATTATCTCCATTCATGAATGACAGCATTTTTATCCTTTCTGCGATTTCTTTATGGCCAGACATTCTAATCTTGTTTAGAATGGTGGAATCACTATGGTGACAACGTTTTCTCTTTTCTTTTTCTTTTTTAAACGTTTGTCCTTTCAAGTAAAGATTTGAAGTTAACTTTTCCGAAAGAAAATTATCAGCGGAATACAAATAATAAAAATAACCTACGCATTACACTGCAAATCGTTTTGGATCTGTCTTAATAATCGAATCATTAAGTACTCTTATTTATTATATAGGTAGGGGTCTGCCTTTACGTCTTTTCTTATTAACCTTTTTTTTTCTTTTACCTTTAATTTCCCGTTCTTGTATCGTTTTACTTTTGTTAGTATTTTTTTTTTCAGAGTTTATTTTTGGTCACCTGACAGGCATTTTATTGGTTGTACCAACACTATATATATATATATATCAATTTAAAATACAATTTAATATATATATATATATATATATATATATATATATATATATATAATTTAAAATACAGTTTAAAATAGTATATTTTAAAAAGAGGCTGTAAAAAGCCGCCTTTAAGAAGATGCAATCCAATACAAAATCCAGAAAATTTTAGTTGTAGAGCAAAATGTAAATTCAAAATTCAAGCTGCCTAGCTACTCAGGTTTCGAGCGTTAGAACTCCTCAGGCATATAGGATGAAGGATTTTACTTGACTCCACCACGTTTATATACGAACACCGGAAGTTGTGGGTGGGGGGGGTCGGAAAATAACACAAAATATTTTCATCCAGGTTCATACATACACAAATACTTGCCAAGGTGTATGCACTTAGATAACCCCTCCGATTTTTCAGTTAGCAGTTTGTGGCTATCGCCAATTTTTCCTCTTGGTGTAGCTTGCAGAATTTTCCTCAGACTCTGCCCGGCTTTATTTTTTTGATGATTTTCTATTTTATGTGTGGGACTCTGCCATTAACTTCCTTTCCTACAAACACAATTTGCCAATTTTGTATCATTTCTATGGCTCTCGAGCCTTAAAGAGGTAGTATGGTTGTAATATCTCCTCTTAAATGGGCCCTCTGTGCAACCAATGTATGTTTTATTAAAATTGTTGCCGTCACTGACCTCCGCTGAGTAAACCACATCTTCTATCAGGCACTCGCCGTCCAAAGGACAATTATTACTGTATCTGCAGTTGCATAGTTTCGTTTTTACCTCCCCAACTATTTCTGCTTGTAATATCTGGTGTCTTTTAATAATGTTTAATAAGTTACTTGTACAACTGTAGATAAGCTTTAATTTCCTTCTGTTGAACACCTTAGCTAGGACAGAATTTCTAGGGAAATGCCTATCTAAAAGCTTAAAAAATATTTTTCCGATTTTGGTATTCAATTGCACGTTGAATTGCAGAGAGGGCGTTAAACCAAATCACGTCCCTTTACCTGGTTGTTCGCTTTGAACGGATAGGTGGGGACAAGGAAAAAGCTGTTATTATGGCCTTCCCTTCTCAATGCTTTCTGATACACCTTTTTGTAAGGTTGAAAATCTCATCAGTGGATGAATTACAGAGATTCGACTTTCCATTCCTTTAGGTATTTGCTTGATAACAGTTGCTGGGTGGTTTGATTTAGTGTTTACATATATGATGTATTAAATATTAAATACGGGGAAACAGTGCCGGCATTGAGTTTAAGTTCTGCATAAAAAAAATTGACTATTTTCATATTTATTTCGACAGTGATTTTAAAGTCCAAATTTTTTAATACTTCGAAGAGCTTCTTTCTAATAATACGTTAGCTCTTGTATTGACAGGCTCACACATTAACCCGTCGTCCCTGTATAATCCGTTGTTATCCATATGTGCTAACTTGTTCATTATACTTAGTATGTAGATACATATTAATTCGGATACCTCTGCTCAGTCAAAAGACACCTGAGGGATGTCGAATCCATTATTCCGAGATATTTTTTTATCCTGGGATCACCACTGCAAAATAATACAGACTTCCTACAGTGGAGGATAATTTCTAAATGTCCATGTCTTATTCCTACTAATGATTTGGCATATTCCAGTGCATCTGTTAACCATTTTTAGGTAACTAGCGGGTTTTCGCTGGTTTTCCTTTCTTTTTAATTGTAATATGTTCATAATGCCTAATATGTCTTTCTCAAAGCCGGACAGCTTCTCTACGGCAGGCGGATATTTTGTAGTCGATAGCTATGATAGCACGAAGTCACAAGTCATCGTGACCGAGGCCTTAATCGTGCTGCCCTTATTCACATTGTTGATCAAGCTAGATAACACGCTCATTTCCAGAAACTCAGATTAATGTCTGCTCTGCATAGTTGCAGTATAAACCACAGAGCAGGCGTTTGCAATAGGGATTAGCTAACCGCCATAGTACACGGATATATATATATATATATATATATATATATATATATATATATATATATATATATAATGGATTCTCCCGTCGGTTTCGACGTATGAGGATCTTACAGCTTAGTTGATTAAGTTATAAAATTTTGTGCGATAATCTGAAGTGGCATTTAAAACCCGCAAGTAATTTACAAAGAAGGCCACATATTGAGCAAGTGTGAGGATTGTGAGATGAGATCACTGTTAGATTGGCTGACCTTTTAGATCTTGCTCTCACTTCTTGAAGATGATTCAGACAAGCAGATTGAAAATTGCTGAGTCCACTAAAACACGTTGATCCCCATTCTACACGCTCCAAAGCTAAGCGCCCAAGGGTGTTATGTGGTATATTGACTGCTGACAAGTTGCTTTTCAGCTTGTCTTTGTATCTTAGCCATAGGCGTCCTACCTTCCTGTAGCCCTGATCTGACTGGCTGTACATTAAGATCTTAGGTATCCTGTCATCAGACATTCTCAAGACATGACCAGTCCACCGTAACTGAGACTGTATGAGAAAAGTCTCGATTCTTTCAATATTACATTTGTTAAACAAGTCTACGTTAGATGTCCTATCTTGAAGCTTAACTCCAGATTGCACACAGACAGCTTTTATAGAAAACATCCAGCGGGCGTATATGGTACCTGTATGGAATCCATGACTCTGAGCCATACAAAAGGATGGCAAGTACAACAGCTCTGTAAACCCAAATTTTCGTATCCAGTCGAATACCCCGCTCATTCCACAAGCGATGGCGAAGTTTGCCGGAAGCACTGGTAGCCTTAGCAATCCGATGCATGATTTCATCATCTAAAGTTTCACTGTAGTTGACTTTGCAACTAAGATAGGTGAAAGACTTTACATAGTTCAGGGCTTTGTCTTCTACTTTCAATGGTCTCTCTGGAAATTTGTAGACTGGTGGTTTTTGTTTCTCACCACGCAATTGCTTCGGAGTAGGACAAGGTTGGTGCACTACTTCAGTTATCTTTATGCTACGTGTAAGACCAAAGGCTTTACATGCAGCAGAGATACGATTTATTAGATGTTGGGCCTCCTCAAAGGATATCGCTACAAGAGCCGTATCATCAGCAAACAACAAATCACGAATAATTTGCGTACGAAGGTGGGTCTTGGCTTTGAAGCGCTGATGATTGAAGAGACAACCAGTTGTTCGAAACTGAAACTTGACGTCACTCTCTGTGTCTGCAAAGGCATATTTCAGCATCACCGAGAAGAAAAGGGCAAAAATGACAGGGGCCATGACACAACCTTGCTTGGTGTCATTTGTGACATCAAAGGATTCCGACATCATACCATCAGACACGATATTAGCTTTCATTCTTTCATGAAAGGAGATGATGACCTTTAGCATGTTTTCATGGATGCCGAGTTTCCTCAAGACTTGCCAAACAGCCTCTCGATTCACAGTGTCAAAGGCTTTCCTCAGTATATATATATATATTATTGCAGGATCATTTTCGACTTATTCAAGATGATTTTTAGCCCTCTCTATCCTTCTAAATTTCTGTCTTGGGGGAACAAGGTGCCACACAGTTTTCACATACGATTTTATTTTCAGGTCTGTTTTCACTGCTCTTTGGACTGACATCGCTGAAACCCCTCTCTCATGTGCGAGTCATCTAATGGATTAAGTTGGATCTTTTCTCATTGATCTCTTAACTCTAAGTTGAAATGGTGATCCGTCTTCCTGTTGTGACCTCTTGATACAGTTTTCCTGTCTACCTTTCCCTCTGTTTCAAACTTAATCATCAATATCTTTATGATTCTTGAATAGACTTTGATGATAGAAGCCAGAGTATGAATGTTGGTACCATTAGTGAAGGCCTGAATGATCTTTTTCCTCTCACCATTGCTCAGCTGCGACGAGAGAGGATCTGACACAAAACGATTTTAATCTGTTTTCTTTCTAGCTAAATAACTCAAATGGTTTTTCAGTGATTCTTACGTCAAGTGGTGTCACGATGGGCAAATGTCTTATGTGAAAACCCGGTAAAAGAACTCAATTAGTTTAGTGTTTTTTTTTTTAATTTTTTATTTATTAAACATTTTGTGGGAAAGACAATTATGCTGTTACACGATCTGGACAATTTTGCTGTTACAGCCGGTATATACGTAAGCTTTAAATCTTCTCTGTTCATAAAGTCGGAAGAAAAAACGTACGAAAATGCTCATTATATTTTGGCATAAGCGACTAAATATATACAGAATTATCATCCTAAAAGTTGGCGGAGCTAACACTAAATATAAACAAATCCGATTTCCATTTTAGTTTTACGTGGGATTATGAGTGGGAGGAGGGAAAAAAAATAAAGAATTTGTTTCTGTCTCAGTTTCGACATTCTTCTTTTCTTACCTCAAAAATGAAAGAAAGCAGACGTTATTATTTCCACATCTAAATCGTCTACAGATTAATCATTAATAAATTTTTTATGTAAAGATAGCCATATCTATTCTAAAGAAGTATTTACCATGGAAATGTATGTAAAAGTAAAAGATATATATATATATATATATATATATATATATATATATATATATATATATATATATTAAGAAAAATATACAGGAAAAAACAAACAAAAAATCCTTTATGCAATTATACTGTTTTAATGTTAATATAATGTCAACGTTGGACGTTTCGGTCTAATAAACCATCTTCAGGACATATTCATAAAATATAATTAATATTATCAATTCAACATGA